TTCTCATTCATTTATATCTTATCAGCATTCAAGATGAATAAAATCAGAGCTGTGATTACACTAAATTTTAAGATGTTGCAATTGACCACAAAGCCCTGACCACATTAGTGATAGTGATACAGCTTTCCAGAAATGCTGTGCCAAGTAAGATAAATCATAAAGAACTTCAGAAATCTAACAACATTTGGAAGAAGGGTTAATGCTATGACAACTAGCAAAGCCCATTTTTTTCCCATCTGAAAAGCATCATTGTTTAACATGACAATTCTTTAACTTGATTAGAAGACCTGAAAACTGTTAAAAGTTCCCATAGTCACCCTATGTCCTCAAGGACCTTTTTGCTCCTCTTACATGTTGCAAAAAAAGCTAAAATTACTTTCCTGCCACCTTGCACATATTTTGGATAATTTTAGCCAGTGATTGGTTTCCACGTAACCTAGTCCCTCGAAGTGTCTTTTGTTCAGAGTTTGCCAAAGGGTTTACTAGAAATGTTATTTCTTACAAATCTCACCTCACTTTGCTCTGACTAAGCCCTCCTGAAATGCTGTCTGTTCCACAGAGCATTCCTTCTACAGTGATCACATGCCACTGTGTTTGCTCTGTGCTAACTGAACTGCATTGTACTTGCGCATGCCCCTCAATTGTTTTCTCAAGAGAGAGTTTCTGTTTTGCCCTGTATTTTTTCCTTGGTTGTGAATAACTTATGGTACTCTATAAATGACAAAAAAGCTCATAACAATCTTGAATAGCAGAGGAGATCATCCAAGGCAAAAAGTGAATAATATAGCACTTATCTGAGTGTTGATATAAACTTAAATGATGGTATGAAGCAAGTCAATAAATCACCTTGCAGTGCACTTCAAACGCTTTTTTTTTTTTTTTTTTTTTTTTGACACTGTGAGTAAACATACTTGCTAAGACAGGTCAGACCTGGGATATCATAGGGTTTTTCTAAGAACTGAAGTTTTCCCAGGTATGCAGGAGTACTTTGTAAGTTTAACCTGCTAATCCTCCTTCACCCTTACCACCTATTTCCCCCAGTACTCCACATTTGAAATGATTTTTTACATTGTGTTCATGGAAATACTAGAACAAAGATTACAGAGCTCTGAAATTTCAACCAAGGAGAAACTTTGCCAACAATTTTTACCCGGAAAAAAAAATGCTTTTCAAAAAGAAAAGATAAGGCATAGTCTTTGTTTTAATCTAGAATTGCACAAATCAGTTGGCTACTCTGTGGCATAGTTATTTGGCATAATGTGTTGCTTTGAGAGCTGTTTCCAGGTACAGCGCAGAGCAAATCAAGCCCTTTCTTGTTTCTGGGAGTTCCCTGTCCTTGCCATGGAATTGCATTAAGCAGTCAGATTGCTGTGGTCACTGGCATAATTGGGACTGGTCCCGGAAATGATGGGAATTAAGCCAAAGTCTCTGAGGGAGATAGAAAGGGCTCTGTAAACAGTTGTAATTGGGTCTGACTTTGAAAAAATCATTAATGGTGCTGTGTCTTTTAAAGTCCTAAAGGCACTTTTACACCCTAACCCACCTTTCAAATGTCTGCATTGTGTGCCTGTTGTTATTCATATATCTATATGGAAGACATAGAAGAGACAGGTTGGACTCTTGCCTTTTTTTTTTTTTTTTTTTTTTTTCCTCCATTCTTTTTTATCTCTTCCCTCTGGTTTGAGAGACAGAAATACTGCTAGAAGGCAGAAGTATTAAAGGTTTCTGCTACCCAGCGAGGCAGCCCCCTGTATGTAACAGGAAAATCATTGCAAGTTCTCATTCCTACCATCACAGCTGCAGTTTTATGTAACCCAGCTGATAAGCAGGTTCTTTGAGTACCCTGTCTCCTGAGTGATCTTTCAGCAAATACCTGAATTGGTTTCCACAGAATCTGAAGGACAGAGGTACAGGGGCAAGATACCCAAAGGAAATCAGTCATGTCAGATAATAGTGCTCTCTGTTGTGAAAGAACTAAATGTGAGACAGGAAAAACAGCTGGGTGGGTGGGAAAACAGCTAAAAGTTGGGAAAAGAATTGTATCTTTAGTGTCTCTTCTGGTAGAGAAGGCAAGAAAAAAAAATGTATATCCATACACCTTAAAGAAATTATTGGTGTGTGAGAAAACAGGATGAGTAAGGCTCACAGCTTTTTACATGAGGAACTTCTTGGTCAAGACAATGAAATCCCATCCTACAGCTGACTTTGTGTGGCATAAGGCAGGCTGGGCAATTTGCCTTTCTGTATTTCTCCAGCTCTAAGATGGTAAAATGATATTTGACATGTTTTCGGTTTTGGGCTCAGCAGGGTGGCAGTTGTAGGAACGTGGAATGGTTTTCTTTAAAGGTCTTTCTTGCCTGTGAGAAATGACTGAGTCAGATCAAGTCCTCAATGTGAAAGAATAAAAAAAAGCTTAGGGAATGTTTTTTCCTGAAAGCTTGTCTGCTAGTTGATCTGACAAAATATATTGACTTTCTAGAAACTTTGTTCTAGATAGAAATAAACTAGAGTCATGGTGTAAAATCTAATGTCAAGACAGGACTTTCGTCTTGTTAAAAACTGGAAAAAATGGAAATGCAAGAACCAGAGTGTAATTGCATCCTGTCTGGATTGGCACTCCAGAATGGGGCTCTACTTGTGTAAGTTAACTAAGACACTTATGTTAGGATTGGTGTGTGATATATCTGATGATCAGGAAAGAGTAAATAGGATGTTCTCTCTGCAGGCATGGATCTACGCACAGAAAGACAGCTGTATTTTTCAGAAGTTGAGACTATCGCTTAACTTGCACACAATGTGTGTAATTCATTAAAACTAGCACTGTTTTCTAACTAGTGAAGAATGGCAAAAATCTATGGAACTGAAATCATGTAATACTCTGAAAGCCAGCCCCATCTGTATTTAGGAGAAAAAATGCAGTAGACACAATGCAATCTGAGAATCATTTTTCTCAGATTTAGTTCTCATCCCAAAATTCAGGGATGGACCTGTCTAGGTTTCTGCTTTTTTTGGCCTCATCTCGGCAACATCTGAATGTTTAGTGGTGTTTGGGAATCTTCATGATGCCTCTGAGGTAGGAAAAGTATTCTTGTTTTCCTGTTGGTTTAAGGAGGAAAAGAAAGATATGTTAACTGAATTGCCAAAGGGCATGCTAATATCTGTGCCAGAGCCAGAAATCAGCTGCAAATCTTCAGTGTACCAGCCCAGTGCCAGAACCAGCAAATTTTTTTTTTCCATTCATATCTATTTATGCACTATACGAATAGGTAGATGTGTCGTGTAAAGATATTGTACTATGTGTTTGCTCAAAGTATGGGTGTTTTATGTAATGGCTATGACAGTATTGGAGCATTCCTTGGTTAAACACACACTGAACTCACTTCCTTGAAGACCATTTCAGGGTTCTGATACACAAAAAGTGGCTCTAATATCTTCCACCTTCTAGGCCTCTATTCAGGGTCAAGGGAATATTTCCAGCAGTTGCTTTTTTTCAACAAAGAATGTTCTGAAGCCCCAGGCTGTGTGAACTGAATAAGTGCTCAGAGCACACACATCTATAAGAAGCTTGCTTGCCTACTAAGCAATTCTCAGCAATGTCTTTGGCCGCTAGCTATTGTTATTTGTTTGTACTGTGGCAATGCCTAGAGGCTCCAGTCATGGATCAGGGACCCATTGTGCTAGGTATTGTAGAGACACAACAAAAAGGTCTTTGTCATACTCTTAAGACAAATCTGAGGTGGGTCTGGGAAAAGAACTTTCCTGAATCCAAAGTCCCAAGGCCAACTTCTAAGCAGTTTACTGTACTCCAGGCTCTGGTTTTATCCTTGTTTTCTCATCTATATGGTTAATTCAACACAGATAATAAGTAAACTCTGAAAATATAATGAAAAATGCAAAAAACTGATGTAATCGTTTATATACTTCTCACTGCCTTTTTAAACGAACATCCAGTCAGTGACCAATGGAGGTGCCGTGGGGACTCTGTTGTTGGGGTCACCTATCTTTGGCTTTCTCTGTCCATCAAAGTGTTTTGCTGTGGTGACTAAAACATATTCTGAGGCAGAAATGAAACTTTCCAAAAGCAATTTTTTTTTTCCTTCTTTTTTTTTTTTTCTGTGCATATGTCAGATGTGTGTATTTAATCTGCCTCATGCATATGCCATTGCTGGGGGTATTTGCATGACAACAGGATTTTTGCTCCTCAGTCATCCATCATCTGCTGGCACTTGAAGTCACATTCCTTTCTGTACCAGATCACATTTAGTTGCTCTGGATACTGTTGTGATGCCACAAAAACAGGATTAGAGCTTGCTGTAGACCTTCCTTTCCTAGAACAAAAAGTTCTGCTTCTCAGTGTTGTACCTGCACTAAAGGCAAGAGGAACTATGATGGTTGCTCTAGAGGGATGGTACTGAAGCTCCTTAAAATTGTCACTTTTTGCCTGTGACAATGATATACGTATCTCCCCAGAGGCCCTGGGTGAATAGAATAAAGAATTAAACTGATCAAAACTATGAAAGTGCAGGTACCTATGAAGTTATATCCCATATCTGTGCCATTCTGCTAAGTCTTACTTTTATATTATTATTATTATTATTATTATTATTATTATTATTATTATTATTTATTTATTTATTTATTTTCCTTCTAGAAGTCCTATTTACCTCTTCTCACAAACTAAGAATGGAAAGACTTTTTTTTCCATTTTGTGGACATATTGCTTATCTGGGGCACAGAATAGCTGGACACAATCACAGAAAATGGGTCTGGAAAGTCCCTTGCGGGGATTCATTATTCACTAGGGAAACATTGTGTAATGCAAGGGAAGAGAAGAAGGTCTGAGAATGTAGTTTATATATTTCTAAGTGAGCCTATTTCAAAATCCACATTCAGCTAATGGAAATTAAAAAACAAACAAACAAACATCAACTAAACCCAACCACAGTTAAGGGAAAATAATGATATCAAGGACCAGAGAAATTCTCAAAATATTTCAACACTTAACACTGATAATTCCTAGCTATTTTTATTTATATGCTGATTAGTTAAACACCTCTACAGCTCATTTTTAGATGAATTTTGCTGGAGTATTCTTATTCCTAAAATAAAAATTGAATTAATAGATTTAGCCACTGATGTTGGACATGATTCATTGTCCTTCTCTGCCATGGATTAAAACCTTTAGAGAACAAACATTTATCAGCTGGAATCAAGACTGTTCTTGGTTTCCTTCTTGTCTTCTGAGATGCGTTCCAGACTTTGAAAGAAGCCACAATAAAGCTTTTGTTTTCTATTTATATGCTCATACATTATTTTCATTTGTGTATCTATAACCAGATTAACATTCTGCAAATTCACATGGAAGTGTAATCACTTTGTTCTTCTTTTGGGATAGTGACTCATAATTAAATACATGCAGCTGAAAGATGAAATTGTGGAGTTGAGACTGTAATGCTGGAGTGAAGGGAAAAAGATGGAGACAGAGGTTCTAAGGTCAGCATAGATGGTAAGAATGAGGACTCCAAAAATTAAGTTCATATTTTGGTGCATCCACAAATAAGCCTGTATTTACATCTGGTGTTTTATCCTTGGGCTTCAAAATGGACTTATTTTTCTTATGTTAAGGGCTTTGTGGGGAATAACATTTAACAGTGACTGTAAAAAAAATCAGACAGTGTGATAACACTCACATAAGTATCAAGAGAAAGAAGCTTAATTAAAATCATACTAGACACTGATATTCTGGTTAGAAAAGTGCAGTAGAGTAGAGGTATTGAAGGCAGCCAAAATTCAACACTTTGCTGTTTACATAATGAGCTAACTCACAGTTAGTATTTGTTGTGAATTGCACAGTGAAAGAATTTCATTTAAAAATGCCTTTTTGTTGAGTCTTGAGTGTCTTGTCCAAAATGTCTCAGATTTAACAAACTTTCAGAGAATTTGAACCTGACCTGGATTCTGAACCTGGCCAGATGTAACACTGCCAGGCAGTGTCTGGCTCCAGCCGCCTGCAGATTCCAGCGTCTGCAGCTCTTGCTCAGGGAGCTGCAGGAACCTTTCCAGGGTAAGGCTGTGCACTCCAGGTCTGCAGCCTGACTGGACTTCACCACTCTGCTGGAAAGGGGCTCAGGCTCCTACTGTGGAGCCAAGACTGACAACACTGGAAGTTTTGGAAAAGGCATCCTAGATCTTCTATGTAGACCTTTGTCACCACTCAAGCACAGGCTGTAGGCATGGTCTCCTCCATCCCACAGCAGAGTCTCTTCATGGCTTCTTGTTGTGGAGCTAGGCATGGAGGCAGAAAAAAAAAGGTGTTAGATTTGCTATTTTATAAGCCCCTGCCTAAATACAAAATATGTCCCTCTTGGGGACAAATTGTCCCTTAAATAAAAGCACTGTATTTCTTACAAATTCTGCTGATGCTGCTGAAACGTCAGACATGATCACTGTAATCGTTGTTTTTAAGGAGTCAGCAATGTTCATGGTCATATTAGAACAAAGTTTGGTCTGCTTCAAACTGACCACATGTAGTAAGGAACTGCAACAGCATCTAAATTATTTTTGAAAAAAATTTAGAGATGTCTTTGTTTAAAAATAGGTTTTACCCACACATTTTTAAGGAATTTAAACTCTTTACAGTTTGGGTCATAAAAAAACTATATTTATACTATCGAGTTTAGTCATTTGTCTTTACGTATAGGATAGGCAATTTCCCTGAGTTCTCTGAGATCGTTCTACTAAGGTCTCATTTGTTCATGTGGTAATTTTCCATATGAAGCTTCAATTTTATTAGAAAGGAAACTTTCTTGACTCACTATGTCCCTGCTACACGCTGCACTGCAAAGGAAAAATAGGTGTTTTCACAAGGCTTCTGAAGCAAGGTGATCTGCCTTTGCATGCAACTCTTGCAAATGTAGTGCTGCCACTTTTATAAAATATGATATCATGAAATAGATATCTCCTTGAGATATATTGTAGAGTGTTAGGAAATTAAGGTCTTAGCCAAACAGAAGGTGGATTCTTAAAGTATCTTGTATCATTCATAGCTTATGTAATATTTTTTATGTGGAAGATCTGCTTAGAGTATAGCAAGTGACCCATAAAGGGCAAAATATGCCTGGTCAAAAATTGAAATGCAGGTAATTTTTTAATTTTACTTTCCTTAATCTTAAAATTTGCCTGTGTTACAGTGAAAAAACAAAGAAGATGCTGGTTTCAGTGTGGTTCAGGCAAACACTATACTTACAAAATATGAGATTTTCATAGAATCATAAAATGGCTTGGGTTGGAAGGGATCTGAAAGACAATCTAGTTCCAATCCCTCTGCCGTGGGCAGGGAAACCTTGCACAAGACCAGGTTGCTCTAAGGCCAATCCAGCCTGGCCTTGAACACTTCCAGAGATGGGGCATCCACAGCTTCTCTGGGCAATTTGTTCCAGTACCTCACCACCCTCTGAGTAAAGAAGTTGTTCCTAATGTCTAATCTAAATCTGCCCTCTTTTAGTTTAAAAACATCTCCCTTTGTCCTATCACTATCTGCGGATGTAGAATATTGCTTTTTTGTAAGTCCCCTTTAAGTACTGAAAGGACTTTTTCATTAATCCGAAGTCCTTCACTCTGGATAGATCTTGGTGAATTTGCATGTCATTGCACATGGCATTGTTATATCTTTGGCTAGAACCGGAATGCTAAAAAAAACCAACAACAAACAAAAAACAGTTTTTGAATTTGATAGAGAGGTTGGAGACCTTATTTTGAGGCATCACCAAGGATTGTTCCCCAGCCATTGTTGCTGCACTTTCAGCAGATAAACTGCCATTTTGTGTTTCATTTCAGCTGCTGTTCTGTGTATCCTCACTAAGTGAGGACAAGACCATCCCCTTCAGCCCTTGGCTCATGTTGCAAGTTGGCCCCAGGGCCAACTGGGTATGGGGCAGTGCAGACAGCCACTGAATTCCTGGGTTGTTCTTGCCATAAGTAGACACGGACCACACCTGAGAGGACAAGGGCTGAAATAAACAAATATAAGAAAAATGTTTATCTTATTATTTCCTAGGCTTCTTCAAAATTAAGAGAGCAGCTTACACTGGTAAACTGTTCTCTGTTGTGAGCAGAATCTTGTTGGCTTCGTTCAATGATGAATTTCATTTTCTGGCCCTTTGCACAGTTAAAGGAGTCTGGACATTTCCTAGAAGTCTGAAGATTTTTGGCTACTAGAAACACTGGAGATTTCCCCATCCTGAGAAAAACCACAGCCTTCTCCGATTACTAATATCATTGAAATCCACTGTTAGAAGTTACAATAAAATAACATTTCCTAGAGATCACTCTTCCCAAAGACTGGTTTAAACGTACAATCATTACTTGGAGAGGGGGAGGATGGGACTGAATTGTGACCAGTACCATTTCTGTGGATTATGCATTGCCATAAGTGAAAGAAACATTATATCCAACTCGGGCATACTGTTGAAATGTGAAGTAAAGGATTTGGAATAAGAAAGGCATTTCTTAAATGGCTTTTTCATCTTCTCCATCATTCAGTCCTGAAGCATTCAAGAAACATTGTCATCTGTCAGACTTAAGAGATAAAGGAAAGCATTATTCAATTCTTGAAATATTTCAGTGCCCACACATCTTCAGTTCTCATGGCTTTTTTTTGTTTTGTTTTGTTTTGTTCAGCCATTTGTGTCAACGATATTATCTATTCAGAGAAGTATGAGGCAATACTATAGAATGTTAAGTTCTATAATGTCTTTCATTTCAAGTACTGCCCCAAACAAACACTTTAGTAAGTTAAACAACATAGCTAGAGAGCTAAAATTGTCCAGAGAGAGAAAGGGGCAAGGAAAAAGCCAGTGTTTTCAGCTGAAAGTAAATGACAACAAATGGCAACTTCTGAGGCCTGTTCTGGGATGTGAAGGGGATACATGAGGTTCTTGTAATCTCATTGTTTGTATTTCAGGGGAATTTTTAAGGGCAGGCTCCTCAAGTAGAATTTGGAAAAAGGAATTTCCCGCCTCTTCCAAGTGCAGGAAGAGGCGGGAAAATGAGACAGAATGGCATTTTAGTTCTAGCCTAATCAGTTGAGATCCAACCTTCTCTCATATGTTTCTTTCAGATTGAATTCAGTTGAAATTGAAGGGATACAGTTTTTCATACTGGCATAAATTGATGTAACTCATTAATTCTGCAGTGTAATGCAGGTTATTAGAAATTAGATGCCTGGTGTATCAAAGTGAAGATATTAAGGAGTTTGTGATTTTCTTTTAGCTGTGAGCTGAAACTTACTCATTTGGCCTGTGAGATTTTTGGTACTGCGGGGTAAGATCTCTACACAGAGTTAGGTTCCAGCACAAATCTGAACTTCAGGTTCAGGTCTGAAGCTTAATGTTAATCCAGATCTGAATTATCTGTCTTCAATATGTTTCTCTCTCTTTCATCCTGTTCCTGCCATATGGATACAGTATGCTGATATTGTCTCACTAATCTGTTCCTGATCACTGACTTGATAGATGTGTAAATGAAAATAAATATAAAAACAGAATAAAGCCTAATTACATTGAAGTCAAATCTTTGGCAACTGGCTACTGAAAACAGTCACTAAGATGATTTTAAGTCTGCACTGTGCTGCCATAAATATCACTATTAAGTGCCACAGCTTTATGCTTTCCACAGGAAGTTATACATAATCAAAGCAATATTCTCCTTAGAAAAAATAAGATCAGTCAGTCGGTGATTTATGTGGGTAGATTTGTCATCCTTCATGAGAGCCATCAGCTAAGCTTTTTTCCTTTTGACATTTGGTGATCGTTAATAAAGTACATCTTTCATATGCAAGATATGTATATGCTTGAATTTGATACTAATATGAAATTGTACTGGGAGATGCTATGAACTCTTGTTGCCTAATGAAAGAAAAATATATGTTTATAATCATCTAGATATTATGGAGTTCAGATGAACAGGGTGTAAACTCTCCCCTCCTTGTGTATTGGAATGTATTTTCAGTGTTATATTATTAGCGTCATTTTGTGAGTGAAGAATATAAAAGGTATATGTAAAATAGAAGAGTTCCATTTGCAAGAGACAGACTATTCTTTAACAGAATTTTTAAAATTGAAGAGATGGTAAAGATGAATATATTTGCTTACATTTAAACATGAAATTAATCTTCACATAATCCCAGTAGCAGACATGACATTCCTTAACAACATCTTCCAGTATTTAGGTTAACAAATACAGAACAGCAGTGTTTGTAATGGTATTTAAAAATTCTTAGCTATTGTTGGTGTTTGAAGTTCTGCAATTCTACCTCTGAATTTATGAATGTATTTGTCAAGCAGTTATATACTCTAATCAAAATCAAGTACTTTTGAATTAACAGTCTTGCTTTTGGACTTCAGTCAAAGCATTTCATTTCAGCATTTCAATGACTGTAGAAAAGTAATGACAGCAGCAGCTGGCATGAGTCTAAATGATACTTTCTAAAGGAAACTTTATGTGGGAAAGCCAGCTGGTCAGCAGATTGCATGACCTCACTTGAGCTGGCTGCTAGAGGAATATGCAACAGGAGGGTGAAACAAGGGAATATTTCCTGCTGCTTTACCCTGTAGTATTTGCCACAAGTACCGTTACCATAAACCCTTTATGTGTTCTTTATTCATCCCTGTGAACACTCTGCAAAGAAAGGTCAGGGAACTATAGAGCTAAGCTTAATACTGTTATTGAAATAGACTGTGCAAGCCGACCAGAATCCAACACATGAGAAGGTCTGATTATCTCCACTTATACAAACTACCATCATATCTAGTGACTCAAATTAGGTCCAGATGAACAGTTGGTTTCCTTAGGTGAATTAAGTTTTCGAAGGCATAAAGGGAAAGCTAATCCTCTGTCTTCTGAAACAAGTTGTAAATACCCCAAGGAACTGGAAAAAACTGACGGTCCTCTTCATGTGTAATCTCATTTATTTGCCTTTTAGCATTCTCAGAAAATCTGAATCTGACACAGCTGCAGCAATTCTCAAAGTGTGAGCTAAATACTCTGGGCTGTGCTGCTCAAGAGAAATACAAAGGAAACCATTCACCCTCCTCCATATTATGGTATATAGATACACAATGACAACATTTTAAACAACAAATAAAATATTGTTAGCTTAATACCTGTTTAACTGAATCCTGTAGATCCAAGTCCTTCTAGTATTTCGCTCTACTGGTGTAACCATTTACAACCACTGATACTTTTGCACTGAGCATTCTAATGGTACCTCCTGTAAGGGCTGGATTTGTTTAAGTGCTAACCATATGACTTCTTAATTTTTGCAACTTGCCTTGTTTCTGAGAATGTTTCTTCTGCATAAAATATAATTCTGTTTATGTACATAACAATAACAATAGTTGATAAAACCAAAAGTCCAGCTAGCTTAGGGTCTTGCCTCTACAATTGTGGCTGTAAGAAGAATTTCAGAAAATGGCAAACAAGTACTACTATTTCTACATCACACTTTCCCAGCGTTCTGTATTTCAAATGCTTCCTAGGGCAGCAATAATATTTCTTCAATAAAAATATAAATAAAGTATCCATTATGTGGGCACCTGTCTTATAGAAAATAAATATATCAAGATTAGCCCAAGTGCACATAAGTGTGTTGTCAGAGTTTTAATATGTACATAGAGAGATACTTAGCATTCTAATGCAAAAGTGGATGCTTGATATACAGGTACATGTATGTAGACCATGGCAATATGGAGGCCTACTATATATCACTGTATATCTCCCAAAAATGCTACTTACTCTCTACTCTGTATACCTTTGCCAGTTCCAAACATCCAGCCTTTGTGTATCAGTTCTCAAAAAACACGATCAGTTGAAAAATATGTAACTTCATCATTAAAAAAAAAAAAAAAATCTTAAAAAAAGTAGAAAGGATATTTTCATCATTTTATGAGTCCTAGGGTTTCATCTGGGGCACATTTATTTATTTATTTATTTTCCCCCCGGTAGATTTAATAGGAATTAGTGTCCAGTTCATGAGGTATCATGTAGCCACATCTTCCAATAACCTAAGCTGTAAGGAAAGTAACAGATATAGTTATTCACACCAAGTCATTCTTTACGTAAAAAGCTTCAGTCAGCTTTCACAGCCACTAATACATTCCTTCTTTATGATGCTTTAGAAGTTCCAGACAGAAGAGGAAGTGCTGAAATACTCAAAGAAAGACGCTTCTCTGCCCCAGGATGGAGTTCTGGCTGAAACTCGGTGTGAACCACTACCAGGGAAAGGAGACCGTCCCTGGGTGGGACTGATTCTGGCTTCTGCAAACCTATGGCAGCTGACAACTTCAGCTAAGATGTGGGGCAATAGAGTCTGACCTTTTGTGCACATTCTTCCTACAATAATACAATAAAAATGCAGACTGTTATTTCTGTTTTGCTAAGTATCAACTGTGAGCTTGAAACCGTCCAAGAGCAAGACTAAAACACTTTCCCTAACCTAAAAGCTAGACATTTAAAAAGTAGGCAAAACCCCACAAGTTGGAGATTAGGGATAGCAGTGTGTGCTACAAAAAGAGGCATGGTATTACAATACTGATGGGAGTTGGTATTTGTGAGTTGGGTAGAAAATAGAAACTTTCCAAGAACTTCAAGGAAAAGGCAGTCTGGTGTGTGGATTGTGCTGTCAGAAAACTTTGACAGCCCTCAGGTGGAGATAGCCTTTGGGAAGGTCAGAGAATGGGCTGAGGGAAGAATCCAAAGAAGTCATTGCTGAATTTACATAAAGTGTGAAGTAAGACAGGTTAAGAAATAAGGACAGAAGCATAAAGGAACAAAAGCCTTTCTACTTACTGATATGACATTTGCCAAATGAAGCATTGTTAATCAATGAGAACAACTGAGAACAATTCCTGAGGAGACATCATGGAGCTCCTGCACATTTAATACTTGCTCGCCTGTGTACTTATAAGATCAGAGCGGGAGAACAGTCCCTGTGTCAGGTCAGCAGATTTCTTTTTGGCATGAATCTGTGCTTCCCTTCCAGATCATCAGAGAAACTTCTACTGAGCAGCATCTTGTTGTGTTCAGTGACAGAGCAGAAGACATTGTAGCTCTTTTGGATATTTGTCCAGCTCTGTGCCTGCACCAAGCCACAGCTGTTCCTACTGAGACAGACAGATAAATCTCCATGTCATGCTGACCGAGCTTTTCCTATTCAGTATGAAACACTTACATGAAGTTAACCCAGAGCAGACTATCCATCTTGACAGGTATCCACAAATTCAGTGGGCAGTTTTGTGGGGTTCGTGGTCACCATGGTCCCTGCAAAACAGAACTGTAGTCTCTGCCCCTCCCTCTGCAGCACCCTCTGAAACATGTATGCACTGCCAATTACCATTCATGCCACTTCATTCATTTCATCTGTTTGCTTCTCAAAATATCTTGTACTTTCAAAAGGTTGTTTCTAAAAAGGCTGAATGGTGAACTTTGTCTCATGGTCAATAGTAACCCAGATAAGAATGAACAGGCACGGCAGACTTTAAAGAGTTGGATTCAAGTCAAGTCTGTCAGCACAGCTCATTGACATACCAAAAAGATCAAGATGTGAGTTAGGATGCATCTCCTGTGTGTTGTAACTTTTGGAACATGGAATATTCAGGGGAAACTATTAATGGTGGCTTCATTGTATTTCTGATGCAATTCTGATGTAATTCTGATGCATTATCTAGAAATCATACACAGTTTTGAAAAATTAACAAATGGAGACATTTTGTGCACTGTTGAAGAAATAACTTTGAGTAATTTATTTGTTGTAATAAAAGCCTTTTGCAGAATTTTTCTACTTCCAGTTTTAATTTTGTTAGGACACTGTAGTAAGTCTAGAATGGAGTTTTTAGTGAAGATGAAACGTCGTTGCAGAGCAGTTGATAACTCAGTATGCAGAGCCTGATTCCAATCACAAACCTCAATTAAATTCTCCAGCATCCTAGAAAGTTTTAGTGTTCTCTCTTTTCCTCTCTCTTCTTTTTCTTTTTGAAGGGCTTTGTTTCATGTTGTGTCAAAGCAAGTATCAAAACCTGGAAATTTCCACAAAATTAAATTCCTCTTCTCCATTCAGCTTCAGTCATATCCAAGAACCATAGTTTCCTTTGAGGATTTTTTTTTTCTTCTACAGAACCTGGTAATATTTAAGCTATCATAGCCGAAAATAAATGTGCACAAAAAATGAGATATATTTTTTTAAGTATTTTATGAGACAATAGAATGTAACCCATAAATTTACAGTCACAGCTGTGCCTTCTGCCAAGCCCAACAAAATTTATGGAAAGCAGTCATCTTATTTTGTGTCTTGGTCATCTATCTTACATGCAAGTGTTCCTATTCATGCTGAAAATAAATTCAACACTGAAAATACATAAATAATAAAAATATCAGTATATTAGTAAGATTTTTCTGTGATAACAATCAAATCCAGAACTGTCCAATGATTTTGTGAAGGAAGTGATTATCTCCACGGAGAGTCCGAAGTGACTACAGACAGACTTGGAGAGAGCCAACAGAACTATAAGCAAAATTTGTGTCTATCCATAACGTTGATTTTGGCACAAAGGGAGATGACTGAGCAAGTGCAAGAATAGGAAATAGTTTGACTTTACATCAGCAATTTTTCAGTGTTTAGAAGAGGCCTGTGAATAAATCTACTAGAGCGAGAAAATCCCCAGATGTCTCCACAAAATTACCTCAGCAGACAAAGGGTGGTGAACAGTGGCTCTCTGGGAGAGCAATGGCTACAGCTGAAGCAGGCCATGCTTTAGGCAGGACCAGGGTACGTTTTTGAAGGTGATCCAAGTAAGGAAAATAGGGAGATGATAGGAAGTGGGGAGAGTAACAGCAAAATCTAGAACAGCATTATTGGATTTATTAAATACTTTACTTTCTCTACTGTGATAAATGAACATGCACGGCACAAGGGCACATGCTTTGGGCTTGGGACTTGTTTACTTTTCAGGCCAGAAATAGATCTCCTGAGTTTGTTCGGTGCTGTCCTTGACTTTGGCAATACTATCCCTTGCCAAGCAAGGGCAACCTTTTCGGTGCTGTTGCTACCTTCTCCATGTCCACCCATGGTGACAGGCTGAAAGGGCTGACTGAGTTAAGCAGAAATATTTCATATATTCTATATTTTTTGTTTTCTACCTTTAAGGTTGCTCCCTCTTTGTACTGGAAAAGTATGGAAACAGCTTCTGGATTGCCAGCTAATAGAATTCCCCCCCCTAAGATAAGCAGAGGATGGGTACTCATATGAGATCAGCTGTGCCTCTATTTTTTTTTTTTTTTTTCTCATTTGCAGTTTTGGCAAATGTACTAAGATAACTTAACATACACAGATTTTTGCTTTCATTCTTGTCTTCACTATTTTAGGATTCTTTTCTTATAAGGGAGAACCCATTATCGTTTGGAAATTTTAATTTTATAACAAATATTTCAACATCTTGTAAACATAGGCCTGAATAAGAATGTTTTTACAAAGCAGTTTTGGGGGTGGGGTAGAGAGTTGTGGCAACATGAAAATCTAGAATTTTTCTGCAGATAAGAAAAGACCTTAGTACCTTCTGTGAACATCACATTTTTGAGGGGGGAAAAAATCTCAAATGTTTTCCAGCTTCCCTCAGGTACAATCTGAACAAATAGCTTCCTTCTACAAAGCAGCTATGCTCCCTTTCACAATGAACAGTGTACTCATAATAAACTGGAAGAGATTTTTTTTTTTTTTTGGCAATAAAAGGGGGACAGTGGTACTTGCAGTGGAGTGTATATCCTATCATATGGGTGTAGGAGAGCTGCAAATAGATTTTTTTTTTTTTTTTTCTACACAGAGGTATTCACTTGGGCCCAGTTCCTGCAGACACTACTCTACATGTGTTTAACTTCTGACACGTGAATAATTCAGCTGAAGTCAAACTGACATGTGATGCCACGAACCCCCCTTGGGAAATTAGTTATTACTGCTGGGAATATTCCATGGAGCTATATATATGCAGGCTACCTATATCGAGAACAAATGTAGACAGTGTTGCCAGGGAACCCCAGGAGTTTTGAAGGCAAGAACAGACTGAAAGGGTCTGTCCTCTGCAGCTTACACTACAAAACTACACACTGTGGATTATACTCTGCCCTGCGAGGTCTCCCTGCGTATTCTGCCTGCATTTCACTGCAAATCATTCTTCTCAGCTGGGTGCATGGCTGCAGGGACACCACAGGTCTTTTAGGCTGAGCAAAGATGTCCTAACAACAACTTCTTTGACAAAAAAGGGATGGCTTTATAACAAAAGTCATTCCTGAGCACCTGGAGTCCAGTACATCCTTATTGTTTTTGGTCTCAGATGTTTTTAAAGATTTGGCTACAGAATTAAAACTTGCCAGTTAGGTCAATAATGTCAATAATGTTAATGTTAGGTCAAAAATATTAGTAATGTTACCTTCCTCCACTCTTCCACCATACTCAAATGCCATCCTTCCATACGGGCCAGAATATTGCTATTTATGTCTTTCCCTCCTGTTGCTTTTTGACAAAATCACCACTTGTTTTCTTCTTTCTCACAGCTGCATAAAAATCAAGATTTGTCTTTGCCTTCAGGGCATTTCTTGATTTAAGTCTTTTACAGTCAGGGCAGCTGTAGCTGGTGTTGAGGAAGATGGCCACAGAGCTCAGACAACCACTGCAAACTGTTTTCTGTTTGCACCCCATTTTGTTGTCAAGTCACCCCTGCCTGACTTGTTTGCGCATTTTCACTCAACCTTTTATTCACCTACTTCTACACTACCATGTGGGATGTGCTTTCTGACTGAGCCAAAAGACCACAATACCACAATTCTTCCATATTTGTCTTTTGCTGTGTACAAGACCTTAGTCAGCGGACACAGTTAAAGGTAACTGTATACACAAAGATTTGTAAATGTAATAGATGTGTATGCTGGCAACTGTGCTGCTTAATTTTGTCTGTTGTGTGGTTAGCTCTTTAGGCAGACCTGTATTTTCCTTTGCATGGGGATTCTTTAGATAACACAATGAACAAATACATAAATAAGTGAAATCAAGAACATAAATTCACACTGCTTTGGTCTCTTGCCTCTGAAAATTGTAGGTACAATCTTAAGAACAAAGACAGAAACAAATAATTGACGTGGGTCAGGAAAACAGAACACCTCTGTAGCTAATTTAAGGGCAAGAGGTGGAAGCAAGGAGAAGTCAGAGTGCCTTAAGAGATTCCTCATCTGCTTCATTTCTTAATAGATTCCTGATCAGAGCCATCAAGGCTCTGAGCTTTAATTCCTCTGTGTCAATGTCCACCTTGTCATAGAACCATAGAATCATAGAGCATCTTGGGTTGGAAGGGACCTTAAAGATCATCTAGTTCATTACATAACACAACAGTATTGCTTCATGGTGGTAGTTTAAAAATTAATTGGCCACTGTTTATGAAATTAGTTTCTAAATGCTAATGAGGAACAATACAATTTTCTCAAATTTGGCTGAGAATTGTATATTACATTTTGACTCCATTTCAGTGAAAGTCATGATTTTCTATTTCAGTCTGGCTACTCAGTGAATGGGAAGTAGGTATACCAATGAATTCATTGAAAATGCTCAGTAGGGTAAATGCATGGAAACAACTGGTGCAAAAACTAGCCAGGTGTTTTCAATTCTAGAATAAAAACTGATTTCCTCAGAGAAAGTAGGGACCACACTCTCCTTTAGTAAAGGTGATCTGTCTTAGGCAGTTGGTTTACTTTGATCACCTGTGCTGTTCAGATGGAGAGGGAGAGATGCAGTTGTTTCTTTCTTCCAGTGAGTTTATTATTTCAGAATTAAAAAAAAAAAAAAAGCAGTTTTATTTTATTTAAAATAGGTATTCTGCCTGTCCTTGTTCCCATCCTCCTCCCCTCAGTGGGATCCCCCTCAGTAAAGTTCAAGAAGTTCAAGTATGAATTTTAGCGTGTCTCATCTTTATTTCAGAAACTTCAGTAATGGACTCCCTCAATAGGCAGCAAGCTGTAATACCAGATATGCCCTGATAACCTGAAGAATATGGGTAAGTGTAATATTTTTAAATGGTATTAGACATAGTTTTTTTTTTTTTTTTTTTTTTCCTTCAGAGATTTTTCTTTCATATAATGGTACAAAAGTAAGCCTTGAGTGAGTTCCTGTGGGTGCTGGAATTTCATTCACCCACACAGTATTGTTGAAACATTAATTGCTGTGGGAGACTTCTAACGTATGAGGGGCTGATAACAGAAGAGTGTGTTTGTATAGCATGTTATAAAGATCTTGGGGAGAGTGAGGAGGACAAGGAAGGTACCTGCATGCTGTGGCTGTTTTTCATTGCATTTCCAAATACACTTGTTGTTATTTTCTGTGAGTAGAAGTTTAGATCTGTAAGAATACCGCTGCTAAAGAGCTTCTCCAGGTGCTAGTGTTGTCCCTGTGTCCTTAGTAACTGTGTTCATTAAAAATGCATAGATTTCCAGTACCTTGATAAGAGAAGTGTGATTATCCCAGTTTTAAGGACTGGACTTGTGACACAGTGTGTCTGTGCAACTTTCCAACAGGACATAGTCTCTGTGTGAAGATCAAAATTAAGTTCACAGGTGCTGGATCCCAGTTCAGCTCTGGCCTGATCTTCTACTGCATTGGAGATGGAGAAATTGGACCTTTCTCAATCCAGAATGAAGTTTCTTCTCTAGCACAGGAGTGCTGGTTGGTTTTTAACATATGAGCAACCACTATATGAATGCAGCGCAGGATAGATCCTTGGCTGATGTATGTTGGCCTGACTCCACTGAAGTCATATGAAACTATGAAAATTGTCAGCAGCTGTGGATCTGCTGTTTTGTGTATGCTCACATTCATTACAAGAAATCATTCTTTCTATGAATGATGAACAAGCTCTTAGAAAAATCTTATTCATTCTAAAGACTGAATCTTTAGTCTCAACTTTCCCAAAGTGTTGAACACTGTGGCCCTTGCTTTAGCTCTTTGAAGCTGTACTGCAACATAACCCTTCTTTTCTTTTTTACTTCTTTCCCTTGAACAGCCTCACTATCAGAGCACTTGAGTGGGCCTCCAGAAATCTGTTCTTGCTACAGGCCCCCTTCAGCTGATACTTTAGACTTTCTAATTTTAGTAGGCTAAGATTTACAACTGTGGCCCGCTGCATGTGGGTGAAGAGACTTAATTTTTCAGTAGCTCCAGTACTACAGTGATGCAACCATGACTAATCCTACAAATAACATGTGTGCATGTATATATGTGTGTATTTGTGTTTATACATGTATGTGTATATACACATGCTTTGAGTCTCACTCACACTTGTGTCGGAATTGGGCACGTGAAAAAAAAAAAATAATGATAAAGTATAATAATTTAGAACTTGGCAGGCTGAAGGGTGCTATCTCTTTGTGCAATCTCACAAAATCATGATGAATTGCCTAGACAGGAAAGGGACAATGCCCCAAAGCTTATTTCCTCTGCATGCATGTGTGTTTTTTCTTGTTCTCTCTATTTTCCCTGTGCTTTTTACCACTGCAAAAATTCTTTTAAATCTTCCTGGTGCATATGCAAGTGATTTAATTTAAATAAATTCAATTATGCTGAAAACAAGAAATTAATAATGTTCATTGAAGTGATGATTGTTGTTCACATCAAAAAGACTTTTAGTCTTTTAAACAGACATATAAATTAGAAGCATGTACTGGTGTATATGCAATAACAAGAAGAGGCCCTTTCTCACAATATAAATATATCTTGACTGTCAGTCAAATCTCAAGCATTTCAGTTGAATCTGAAGAAATAAATGCAGTGAAAATTATGAAAGTTTAAACTGTACAAGTGATTGCTGACTCACATGGAGACACATTATTGTTCAGGTGGAGATCGCAGTGGCAGCTCTTGTACTGGATGAGCTCTCCTTTTGTGTTAGGTGCTGCACAAACGCTGGGCTTGGTAGTAAAGAGAAATTAGATGTTAAGATCTGCCCCACTAGATAAAGGCAGAAGAATCTCAGTGTCAGTGGCAAAAATGAAAATTCCTTAGTGCAGCTCCAGAGATGAGGGAGGAACAGGAGGCAGAGTTATAGTGAAAGTCTTCCTATAAATGTGATTTTTAAAAAATAAATCCAATAGTTTATCTGAAGTAATCTTCCACTTTTTCACATTGGAAATTTAAGTAAATGAATAGGGGGGGCAAAAAACTAACAACAGGAAGCCCACAGTAAAATGCAAGCTAAAGCCTGTTAAGGCCAGGATGAGACCTTACCTCTTGGGTCCCAGTTTCTTGCAATAACTAGATCACACTGCATCCATCAGTGTCATTCATCATGTGTTTTGGTTATCCCTCTTCTGACCACTTTATTTGTTCAAAATGATTCATCAGCATAGATTGTCTTGAGTCAGTAGAAATAATATACTCAGCATACAGAGTTCTCTTTCCCCTAAAAGTCTACTGTTCCTAATTCCCAGATAAACAGGAAGACCTCCCGTAAACACGATCGTTATATGTTTTTCCATATTTAAGTGGTATCTCTTAGCCTGTGTGATCAATGCCTGGCTTGCCTGCCCTATGTAGAAGCATGAGTGTTTAAAGAAAAGCCAGTGTTTCTGCACAGTACAAGAAAACAGACATTGTCTATGGATGGCAATTATTCAATTACTCCAAATATTTTTATTATGTTCTATGGCTCTGCTCTTTTACAGCAGATGGTGTCAGCTGCAGGTTGTTTTTTTCACCATGGATTTTTTTTTTTTAAATTTTCCTATAATCTACTCATTTTCTCCTTAGTGCCTCAGCCACTTTTGCCAAAAAGATTTTTTTGTTTTTATTCCTTGCAATGGGACATAGTACGGTGATGAAAGGTATTGTAGCTGGCATAGCCTGCAGGTGCTGTGAAGCTGGGTAGAATACTTCAGCTCTTTCTCACTCTTTTAATCTTGGCTTACAATCATACTGACTTATTAAAAACAAAATGGAAAAAAACCAACCCACCCAAATATTTCAGTTTGATTTTTATCATGAAAGAGCTTCTGTGCCAAGAAGACACCTGGCTGGTTTTAGAGTGCTGTTTTCTAATATGGACAGATTTCCGGATTATTTATTTTTCCAAGTGCCATGGCAGACTTTTGAGGTCTGAATATCAGTTACCTGTCCACAAACAAATCAAAAATATAGAAAGGCTTTCTAGAATCACCCCATCCAGAGACTGTGGCATGCTGATAGAGGGCACAGTTATATCAGCCAGGTGAAGATTTAGAATCTTCCTGTGTTATTATAACTTCACCTTTTCATCAGTGTACTCCAGGATCTTTATTTTCCTTACGAAGTAAGTGTGGTTTCAGTGTGGTTTCAGACTTCTGTTTAGTGTTTATCAGATCTTGCTTAGTTTATGACCTTGAACACTTGGAGACAAACTCCTGAACTTACTGATTCCAAACTATAGGGTTATGGCAGTGATACAAGAAGTCAGGAAACAACTGGAAATTCAGTTGCAGAAGTGAAATTCAGAGCTACCAGTGTACTGTTAGTCCAAAGGGGTGTTTCCAGTGAGAAAGCTTGGAAGCTGTGATACTACCTTGCCAAGAAATGAAGCTGTGGCTGTCAGTTGCTGTTGTTATTGTCTAAAAAATGACAATGGGTGGCACTCAGGAGGTTCTTCCGTGATCTTGCAATAGGAAGTTTTACTCCAGTGGGTCACAACTAAAAGGGCTATCAAGGATGTACTGAGTGGACTCTGTGGCAGAATGAGACTGAAATAACTGCTCTTCATTGTTATGCTTATGAAAGAATGCTTCTGAGGCAGGCTGTAGACTCCTTACTAGTAGTTCCTAGTGAACTCTGGACATACTTCATATTTACAGCAGCCCTATGTACATACCTACTTGCTCTGGCTCTCCAGTTGGCTCTCTTTTGATAATATTGGTCAAAAAAGAAGCTCTAGAGTTTCTCTGCCAGTATTCTGATGTTGCCTCCTGTAAATTTGTTTGGGATTTGTAGTCTGTTTGAGCTCAGACTGAGAGCTGGTTTTTTTTTTTTTTTTTTTTTTTTAATTCTGAAATAACAAACTCACTGGAAGAAAGCTGATGAGAGATAATACATAGCCTGGCTCAGTTACGGGAAAATCCTGTAATACAGAATACTCCTCAAGTGCTCGGTCACATACTGTGACTATGTAACCAAGAAGTATGTTTCTATAATATGTAATATAAATGAGGACCTTGGAGTATAACATTCTCTGTACTCTTTTGTTAGTTGTTATTTTTATACTATGGAAATTTTTATTTCACAAAGAAATTCACCCTGACCAGAATCAGGTGTCTGTTGTCTCTGAACCATTTCATCATATGAGTACAATGTATTTTATTTTTTTTTATTATGCCATCCTAGATAATTTACTGTTTCATCTGAAAGACTAAACAGGGTTGAGCCTGTGCGGTATCTGGATGAATGCCTTCCAAGAAAAAGTTAGTATCATACAGGAAATAGTGTTGGTGATTCATAACAAAATTACGACTGTTCAGATTTAAAGTAACTCAGAAATAATTAATCTTTTAGATTGTGAAGAGGTGAAAAAGTTGAGTCATTCTCTTTACCATGAATCATAAGGTTTTTCTGGTGTTGTGGGTAACTTGTAATTTTTGCTTTTTATTCTTTTTTTCTTTTTGTGGAAAACCTCTCATATGAATCATGCTATGCTGTTCTACAGTTGCCCTTTAGCAGCCTTAATCTACCTGATTCTCTCTCAGGTGTTTGTACAGTAGGATGCATTTGGTCATAAATCCCTCGGCCTACCACTGTCACCCTTGCTGCCAAGGTACCAATACATTACACTTCTTCCATGGCATAGCGGGAACAAAAAACTACATCATGTAGAACTAACTCATTGCTTAAGTGAGCTGAGTAGTAAAGGCAGATGGCTTTTTAATATGAATCACCTGTATTGAAGAAAACTTTGCTGTCAAAAAAAAAAAAAGGGAAAAAAAAAAAGAAAAACTTTGAGAAAACTACTTGATAACTTCTAGCAGGAATTGAGGATATGGATCAGGGTGGTAGTATGCTCAGGGAATGAGATTTTAAATCTACAAGAGAATCAACTTTGCACTGCCAGTTTTCCACTAAGATTATTATCTCTCATCAGCTTTCATGTTTGTGTCAAATGGAAGACGTGAAGATGAGAGACTTACTGACAGTCACAAACTAAGCCGATGATCAGTGCGCATTATTTTCCTAGTTTCCTGGTTTTACTGTACTGAAAAAAAAGTTGTTTTTTTTTTTTTTCCTCCTTTTCTGTGTGATTTTAGGAGAGAGATTTTGATTTTCTGAGTTAAAAAATAAACTACATATCCCATTATATGAGTAAGATTCATCTTTACCAGTGTAGACCCTCTCCTCAGTATAGGCATTGCAAGGCCTGTCACAGCTGTCAAAGCCTTATCATGATCACTTTGTGCTAACAACAACACAAACTGGGCCAAACTGAGACTGACTTCAGAAATAATTTAGCTGAATTCGAATTACAGACTTGCTTGGTCCGATGCATATTTGGTGCCCAAAGGATGATTCGGGAGGGGTGAAGCACCAGATGGTTGTACTGACATTCAGAGACACATCAACAGGCTGGAGAAATGTGCCTGCAGGAATCTTGTGATGTTCAACAATGGGAAATGCTAAGTCCTGCAACAGAGAAGGAATAACCACAGGCACCAGTATATGCTGGCGGCTGTCTGCAAATCAGCTTGGAAGAAAGGGACCTGAGGGTCCTGATGGAGACAAAGTTGAACATGATCCAGCAGTGTGCCTTTGCAGCAAAGAAGGCTAACAGCCTCTTAGTCTGCATGAGGGAGAGCAGTGCCAGCAGAACAAGGGAGGTGATACTTTCCCTCTACACAGCACTGCTGAGACCATACCTGGGGTCTACTTGTGTCCAGTGCAGGGATCCCAGCGCTGGACACATGAGAAGCATGGACCTCCTGGAGTGAGTCTAGTGAGGGACCAAGAAGTTGATTAAGGTACTGGAGCATCTCATATGAGGACAGGCTGAGAGAGCTGGACTGTTCAGCTTGCAGAGGAGAAGGCTCAGGAGGTTCATGTATAATGTCTGATGGGGGGGGGGAGAGTGAGGCAGGGTGATAAAGATGATAAAGTCAGAATCTTATCAGTGTTGCCCAGTGGTGAGACAATAGGAACAAGCAAACACTGGAAAGTACATTTTAGCTGAATAGGGGGGAAAAAAAAAAAAGCTGCTTAACTGGAAAGGTGGTCAAATACCAGAACAGGTTGCACTGAGAGGTTGTGGAGTCTCCATCATGGAAATACTCAAAATCTGACTGGGTAATGCCCTACTCTAGCTGACCCTGATTTGAGCAGGGGGCCTTGGACCTCTGAGGGTCTTGGTTAACCTCCATCACTCTTTGATTCTGCACAGCTCTCTGTAGGTAACTGAACTGTCTAAGCACAGTGGGGAAAGCTAACTGCCATACTTTGCATTCCTCAGCAAAACTAAGGTCAGTGGAGTGACCTTTTGAGAAGAAAATATAGAGATTGGAAGCCTTTTGAACTCTAGAAGTTGTTGGTTTGTCAAATACTCTGCATGAGAGAAGTGGCAGAAGTCACATACCTTGAAACTTCTACCAGTTGAGACTATCTCTTCAGAATAATTGTAGAGATCAAGCCTATTTTGGCATAAAGGTGGACTGCACAGGTCTCTGCCTGTGGAGGCAAATATCTGTGATTCAGACATTGCAACACAAAGGGACACATGTTACTAAAGCAGTATGTTACATGCATTATTTGGAAGTAATAATATATGACAGTAACTCAAAAATGCGGTTTAAATTTACTAGCAAAAAAAGAAGTCATCAAGAGGAGGTGACTCACTTTGTAATGTTGTTACCTGGAACAGTTTGAGCTGACCCTCTTATGTTCTAGAGCATTTGAGGGATTTATCTGCGTAATGCAAGTGGGTGTCCTGGTTTGGTTGGAATAGATTTAATTTTCTTCATGGTAGCTTGTATATTAAGAATTTGTAAGGATAACAGTGCTGATAACACATGGATGATTTAGTTGCTGCTGAGTGGTGCTTACACAGAGTCAAGGGCTTCCCTGTTTCTCAAGCTGCCTGCTAGTGAATAGGCTGGGGATGCACAAGAAGCTGGGAGGGGACATGGTCAGGAGAGCTAACCCAAAGTGACCAAAAGAATATTCTGTACCATACAACATCGTGCTTAAACATAAGACTGAGGAGAGCTGCCTGGAGGGCTGCAACTGGGTATTGGTCAGTTTGTGTCAAGCAATTGTGTTCTGCATCACTCTTACTCCCCTCCGCCCTCTTCTGTTGTGTGTGTGTGTTCTCCCCCTATCCCCCATTCTTATTAAACTGTCTTTATTTCAACCCATGAGCATTCTAACCTTTGCCCTTCCAAATTTCTTTCCCCCCATCCAGCTGGGGATGAGAGGTAGAATGAGCAAATGAGTGGCTGTAAGGTGCTTAGCTGCTTACCAGCATTAAAACACAACCACAGGAAAATGAAATGCATGAAGCCAGGTTTGTTAGTCTAGCTGTGCTCTTCTGGAACGCTTATCAGTTCCTTACGTATTTTTAACTGTCTAGAGAACCTGAAATTGGAGGTTTGTTGTTTTTTTCATACCTTCAAATATGTTTAAAACCTTGAGAGAAACATGGGACAGCAATGCCTTCCTGGCATACTGAATTCACCCAGCTACTGCAACAGAAAAGGTATGGGCCTTGGATTTTACGAGGAAAAGTGTATTTCTGCTTGCCTGCTGAAATAAAGGATTAGTTTTTATTGCATGGCCCCTCATTAATTTTTAACTAGTTGCTAGTTGGTTCCTTAACTCAATTCACTCTAATTAATTAATGTGATAAGATAGAATACCCTAATAGTTCTTGCTTACACACTTATTAATACAAATGAGTGGAATCAGCATTATGCACCTGTTCTTGGTAATCTGTGCACATACTAGTGAATTATCATTGCCTCTCAGAAATAACATCCATAGTGATGTTTTGTTATACCTTAATGCTGGCTGATAGAAGCTCATGTTATCACATTGCATAGGATGCTTTGGAAAATACAGTCACTCACTGTGACTGTGAACCATGGCTGAACTTCATACATCCAGAAGACACAGCTTTAATTTACTCGCTACCCCCAAAACAATTCATGGCCTGAAATGCTGTAATTGGAAAGTGTCTTAGAATTATCAATATATTAAGTATCACTAAGGTACAAAAAATCAGAAAGCATAAAGTACGTGAGCATCTCCCATTTTGACCTTTTCTCACTCCCATTATTTTTCTTGTTTAAAAAAGAAAAAAACAAAAAACAAAAACAATCAAACAAAAAAGATAAATCTTTATCTTGTTTAAAACTTGTTTTCCAGAGCTTGAGCTTTGACCCTCCAAAAATACTGTGTTAATGATCAAGCTCAGTATTCTGGCATTTTGCATGTGCTAGAATAGGCAGAATTGACATCCTGAGTGGTAGATTCTTATTTAGGCTGTGGACATTTGAAAACTACTCCTAAATGTACATAGATGAATTCTTCACATAGAATGGTTTGTGTTGGAAGGGACTTTAAATACCATCGAATTCTAACCCCCCTGCCATGGGAAGGGACATTTTCCACTAGACCAGGTTGCCCAGAGCCCTATCTAACCTGGCTTTGAACACCTCCAGGGATATGGCATCCACAGTTTGTCTGGGCAACCTGTTCCAGTGCTTCACCACCCTCTGAGTGAAGAATTTTCTTTTAATATCTAATCTTACCTATTTTCTTTCAGTTTGAAACTGTTACTCCTTGTCCTATCACTACAATCCCTGACAGAGTCCTTCCCCAGCTTTTGTGTAGGCCCTCTTTAGATACTACAAGGCTGCTATAAGGTCTCCCTGAAGCCTTCAGTTCCCTAGGCTGAACAACTTGAATTCTCTCAGCCTCTCTTCACAGGAGAGGTGTTCCAGCTCTCTGATCATCCTTGTGGCCCTCCTCTAGGCTCACTGCAACAAGTTCATGTCTTCCTTAAGCTGTGGGCCCCAGAGCTGAATGCAGTACTCTGCATTCAGGGTGGGGCTTGTGAGAGCAGAGTAGAGGGGGGAGAATCCCCTCCCTTGACCTGCTGGTCACATTTTTTTTGATGCAAGTCCACCTTGTCAGCTTGTGTGGAGCTCTTCGTCCACCAGTACTCCCAAGTCCTTCTGCTCAGGGCTGCTCTCAAGCCATTCTCCACCTAGTCTGTGTTGGTCCTCAAGAGTGCCTGACTCATGCAGGACCTTGTACTTGGCCTTGTTGAAGTGTACGAGGTTCACACAGGCCCAGCTCTCAAGCCTGTCAAGGTTCCTCTGGATGGCATCCCTTCCCTCCACTGTGTCAACTGTACACAGCTTGGTGTCATCCACAAAATTCCTGAGGGTGCACTCAATCCCACTGTGATTGTCACCAACCACTGTGTTAAATGATACTGGTTCCAACACAGACCCCTGAGGGACACCACTTCCCAATGGTCTCTACCTGGACATCATATAATTGATTGCAACTTTTATCCACCTTATCCACCAAGTGATCAATCCATCAATTCCATGTCTCTTCAATTTAGAGACAAAGCTGTTGTGCAGGATAGTATCAAATGCTTTACACAGGACTAGGTAGATGATGTCAGTTGCTCCAAATCCCCTTACCCAGTTTTACCCAAACTCATAAATTACATATCTTAGCTTCCAAAGTAATCCGGAATTGCTGATTATTTCTGATGCAACTGTTTCTCTACTGTTATGTGTTGTCCCTCTAATCCATACCTTACCTTTTTCTCCTGTACCTCCTTCTACAAAGAACTTACACAAGTGGAACACTTCCCTATCTTTTCTGCTGAGATGTTTATAAGATCTTTGATGTGAGCGGCGGTGCCTTTTTCATTCTTATACGAGTCTGCTGAGAGTGACCAGAAATCAGGACTTTGGTTTTACGCACTTACAGACTGCTTGCTGTAGGCATGTTATGGTCTCAGGGAGTGACCTCTGGAAGCACAATATGAAGCAGCATATACTGCTGAAACAGAAAGGATGTTTTATATAAATTTAGCTAAAATGTTTATGGAATGGATTGCTGAAAGTTGTTAGGAGGACCAATGGATTTTGATAGGCAGAAGGATATTTTCCTGCTCTCAACTGAAGTAGCAGTGACTGGCTGAGCTTAATATTGCACTGAATGGACCAATTAAGTACAAAATTATTTTTGCACTGTAAAAAATGTTGGGAGGGGTGTTAATGTTATAAGGAACAAAATTTAGTATGCTCAAAAATGAAAATCAAAATCAAGAGATGTATCACAAGTACATGTAGACCTCTTAGGATGGAGAAAGTGAATCAGAAGAGAGAAGGATAGAAATTCTTAGGGGAAGAGAGGCTGAAAATCTGTACATCAGGTTGCATGGCATTTAGCAGTGATAAGAAGCTGAAGGAAATGCTTGCTCGCTGCATGCAGCCTTGACGTTTTGGCCAGTATAACAGGGAGAACAGCAGCTGCAACTGGTGTGCAACTGTCACTCTAGAGGAGCAGCTCCTACCTAATGTGAGCAAAGTAGAAAAACAAAAACAAACAAAAATAAAACGAGAAACAAGTAGAATAAGGATGTGGAAGTCAGTTGGTGTAGTGTGTGGTGTTCGAGCCCTTTTACTGGCAATCTCCTTCTTATAAGGAGCAAAACAGAGACCTCTGATAGGAACTGCAGCATTTTTTCTCCATGACAGGTGGCAGGAGTGCTGAGATCAAGCCTTGTTCTTAGAAATATAAAGGTGTGGTTTTGCACAAAAAATTAATAGATAATTTTATAGCTGTGATAGATATGAACACCACAGCTCACTTGTGAAATGGAGCAACTCAAGATAATCAAAGGCTTTCTTAAAAAGCATATAAAAATTTCTAAGGGACTGCTCCTCGTGAAGTCAGAGAGACTTTTTCCCTGGTACATAGAAAGGCTGAAATCTTAGAATAAAGAAAAAGTGGGGACAAAACATTATAGGATTTGGTCTTACAGCTTTTACTCATGCAAGTAGCTTCACTGATTTCCAAAAGCTTATTCCACGTGGTTAAGCATTGTTTTTCCCAAAGCTTAGGTTGCAGTGTTAGTTTCTCCATCATTTTCAAACGTAAAGGTATTTGGAGCCAGGTCTTTCTGCTGTTGAGGTAATGAACAGAACTTCGTACTTATTTCAAGGGTCCTTTAATCTTTTCAAGGCCTTTTTAATTAAAATGAATTATTTAGTATTTGTACAGCACATTGAAAGTACACAGAGCTGCGTAAGTGCTAAGAGCTGTTGTTATTATTCACCTCATTATTATCTTTTACGTATCCCATAAAACTAGCTATGACTTAGCAGCTAAGCTCCTCAGTTCTCAAGGAAAATAGACATTAGAAAATGCTTTGACTTTTTTATTTATTTATTTATTTATTTTATTAAGCCACGGTAAATTAATACTGCTGATGAATACAACAGTGATGATATTGTATGAGTACCAACTGAATCAATTGAGTTGCCATGCTGAACTGGATCATGATCCTGTTGTTTGCAAGCATGGGCACATAAAAATGATTTGTTCTCTTTACACTCATAAATGTTACACACCATGCATGTAAACTGATACGCCCTTGGAAAATGATAACCTCACACCAAACCTATGCTGGTGTCAGTCATCGTAGATATATACATGTAAGCAAGTTGACAGTCAAAAGTGGAAGGTCCTTCTTGCCAGATACTTCCATAACCCCTGTGCATATGCGTTTCAAGGATGGAGCACTTCACATCACTGTTATAGTAAATTGATCTATGTACAAGTGCAAGATATCAGTCGTACTTGAAAAGCAATGTTTTTGAAACTTTTATGCTGGAGTGAAGAATCCTTGCTTAAAATCAGGTGTGTGTATACTTCGGTATTTCAGAAGGTATTTTGAGGGAGTTGTAGAAAAATTATCTGATTTTGTTTAGAGTAGGTGCAACTTTAACTTCTTTTCTGTGAAATTAGAGCTCTGCTAGTTTCTGAAAACACACGCTCTGCCAAATTTCCTCTAGTATAGGTATATTAGTAAATATAAAAGTGTAACTCTAAATGTGTCTATAGACCTATCTTTTTATAATTGTATATACATACACTCTCTTGATGTTTTGATTTAAAAGAGTTTTATATAAGCAAATAATTTGAATTAATAATAAAAGCAGGATCAGATGATGATAGTGGCAGTGGAAATTGTATATCCCTAAAGTAAATGCTGCACAACGTTATGTAGTCTACCATAATACTTGCCTAACTCTTAGTCATCTTTTGGTTTGGTTGTACCAGAAGGAATTTCTTTCATTATTTTTTGTGGCATACTGGGCAGTACAATACTTCAGCTCTCAGAGTTTTTTGTTTTTGTTTTTTTTTTAAATACATTGCAACAGATTGGATATAGTCTTTTTTTTTTTTTTTCCCTTGAATTAACAATGTTAGTCCTACCTGTATGCTGTGAAGATGAGGGCCTTTTATTCACTTGTAATAAAACTTGGTAAAGAAAATCACATAGAATCTTGATAGGTTCCTTGGTATTTTGAGTATAAGGGAATAATAGGCTATTGCCTAGATAAATCACAAGAAATAGCTCAAGATATTCCTATAATCAAACCTCACACGTGAATGGCATTTACATCTTGGCTGTGTTATTCTTATTACTGTTGTTAGTAATATTTTACTTATACTATAAAGCATCTTTGCTCTGAAAATAAAAAAAAAAAAAAAAAAAAATTTAAAAAGCTCACTTAAGTTTCATGAAAACCTGTGTTTGCTATAACTCTTTAGGTAAATATATATATGTATCTTACATGTATATATGTATATGGAAGCCTTGGCAGAGGTTTTCAGTGGCTTATTTAAAAGCACATAGCAAGTTGCTTGATGAATGGGGACAGATTTTTTGACTCTTTATCTACTATTCTGTCTAAACTCACTTATTTCCACCTCCAACAGGATTCTTATGATATAAAGGGAATTATATTTATCTTTCTGAATCTGTTTCCTTTCATATGCCTGTTAAAATTTTGTTAGGAGAAAATGAAGACTAATGTTCTTGGGTACGTGCTCACTGCTGTTATTGAAATGGCCTGTCATACTGAACGTCTGAACAAGCAGCTTTCATCATGTATAATGACTCTACCTTTCCCAAGAGGAGGCTAGCTGCTTGGAAACTTTTTGCTTCTTAAGGTTAGGAAGGTAGCATAACTGAGCAAACAACAGGTATTTATGCAACTTTAAACAGCAAACCATACCTATTCAGAGCAAAGGACATGGTGAAGTGAAAAACCAACAACAAAAAACCCCAACACCTAAACCCTGTACCCATGCTAAACTTCTCTTTAAGACAAAGTTTTGGGCTTTTTTTTTTTTTGTTTGTTTCTCAGATATGCTCATCAGATTATCCTACTTTATACGGTTGATTTTCTGGGCTACTTTAATTTTAAATCATTAAGATCTTTATTTTTTCCCCTATCTTTGACCAACACTGATTGTGGCAGCATCAATTGAATAAAGACACAATGATCAAACATTATTTTTCTACTTGTTTCTGGTTTAAATGATTCTTAGACTTAATAAGATGGGTAGAGAGGTTGATGGAGATAAAATAACCATAGAACCCCAAATTCAAGTCCTTGCTGCTATCACAAAATCACAGAATTTCTAGGTTGGAAGAGACCTCAAGATCATCAAGTCCAACCTCTGACCTAAAATATGACTATGCAAATTGCTGAGTTCCTATGGGATTCCACCCCTTTCTCCAATTCTTTCCTTTAGCCTTTTCTATTTAAATTGAACCCCTTCAAGGCAGGGATAGTCAATAATATCTAGTAACACAACGCTTAGTACAGTTTATTATATAACCTAAACACCATATTTACTATTTTAATGCATAGACCATAAAGGGCATGAATCATGATCCTAATGTGGGAACTGTGGGAGCAAATAGATGGAACAGGTTGCTGGATAGTGCAGATTGTCACACAGTTCTGACCATGTAGAAATTGAACACTGAAAGAACTGCAGTTCTACAAGGCTTCCTGGTTCTAAATAATTTCTGTGTAAAATAGGGTAATGGGGTTAAAATCAATTTAAAAATACCTCAAATTCAGAATGAAGAAGTTAAATTTCACTGGCTCAAAGCAAAGGTGTGAATAAAGCTACAGTCTGAATGAGCTTGAAACATGTGCCAGGAGAGTAGAAGACAAACTATGCTTATATCTCACAGTACATAATTCTGTTGTTCATATTTTTCAGTTAGTATCCCCTGTAGCACCATATTATCCATGGAAATACAGTTCAGAAATGTGAGGAGTGCTGAGAAACGTGATGAGTGTTCCATGTAAAAATGAAATATTATTGAAAAGAAAGGAATATTTTTAGAGCAATGACTGATTTCAAATATTTTCCTCAATTTCATGTCACCAGAGGTCTGGAAAGTACTCTAAGGAAAAAAAAAAAAACAAAAACAAAAAACACAACTTTGTATATATTTGACATCTCACTATGGGAAACACTGTGAATGCTTCTTGCATTATCATCTAGATTGTTTCAGGATGATAGAATTATCTGTTTATAATGCAATAAAGAAAATGTTCTGTGTAGGCAGTTCTTCCAACTAAAGGAAAATGAGGGTGGTTGGGTGGGGGTACAGAGGAGAGACCATGAGCAGATGTTCTGAGCAACTTAGGAAAAAGCTAGAGCCCTGGGGCTAGGGCAGACTTGGAACATTGTTGTGCAAATATGTCCCATGTACGTTTAACAGTTTTTAATAAAAAATGTGGGAAACTGAATGAGTTAATTAAAGAAACAGCCTTTAAATGGCCTGAAAGGAAACATAAAAGTAGTTTACAATGAGCTTTGGACCACTGTAAAATGGTTTAATTCAAAGATCCATAGTTTCTGTCATGAATACTGAAAATGCTCAAGTGAAAAATGAAGCCTTGGACTTTTATCTTTTGATATAAGTTGTAACTTGTCCTTCATTAGGAAAGTGAAGCACCTATGAACTCCTTACTGCCGCAGATGAGAAAGTCTAGCTATTTGTTCCCAAGGATGCAAATACAAATATTTCATCTGCAAACTCACAATTTATAAATGGAATGAAAATGACAATGCTAGAGTATCAGACAAAAAAGACACAAAGCTAGGCTGGGAATTTGAATCCCATTCAAAGAAACAGGCAAACAAATGCAACCCACAAAACCAACCAACCAAAAAAAAAGTTTGAATTGTATTTAGCTGAGATGCAGCTGAAAATGAGAAATGCTCATGGCTATCAACTGTGACAGTCATTCCACCACATTCCTGCCTGGCAAGACTGGTGTGTGTGTGTGTGTGTGTTGTGAAATGGACAAAGGGGTGTGTAAAGTTGCTAGGGTGGTAGTTTGTGAGATATTAAATGTGTAACAGGGTTAAAGATCTGGTTTACAGACTAAGAAGTCTAGGAGATGGGCAGCTGATACTGACCTCAGAATGGGAATGGTATTCTGGAAAGTTTGTTGCTTGCATTTATAGTATTGACCAGGTCAAACTGATAATAGACCACACTGTTTGTATGTTTTTAAGCCAGCAAATTTAGTTAATTATTTTTAATGGTATGTTAAACTGAAGAAAAAGATGGAGATAGTATCACTTCAATATCAAATTCTGAACAGGATGAACATAAAATAACAGACTGCTAATGACTTCCACTTCAGAACCCACACTTCCTGGATTTAGATTAATACTCGGAGCATCCAGTTTCTAAATTTACTCACCTAAGTTACTCCTCTTGAAAAGGAGCTGTTCTCTCAAAAAGGCAAACTGCTGCTATTGTAAAGCTTTTAATTTTTTGTGTGTTCCAGACAGCCCAGCAAGTGGAACATTCCATTCACTCCTGAAGCAAAGCAATTTTTATGTTAGACCTTCCATAAGGAGGTACTGTGACCAACTTATTCTACTGGCTGGTTATCTTCTGATATAGATTGGCATCCTCTGATCTCAATACAAACAAGGCCTGAACTTTCTGATTTTTTTGGTTTGGGAAGAAAGGGTTGGGGATTGGAGAATGGGATTCAAGTTCAAGAAAATACAATTCTTGGCAATTTCTGTTTCTGACTGAACTGGAAATAAAAGAAGAAGAATCTTTATTATGGTATTTCAACATTTCTACCTCCATTCCTGCACAGAAAATTATCCATGGAGGGTGGAACTTTAAAATGCCTCAGGATATGAAAGAGGGAGATGGAAAACTTGAGCTGTGTAGAGCTATCATCAGCAATTAAAGTTCACATACAAACATGGGACAAGAATGACAGGAGCACGCACTGATTTAGTTCTCCTGAAACACACTGGATTAGGAGGAGCTCTGCAGAGGAACATGGTGCAGAAAAGTGTCAATAGCTTAGCAGGAAAAAAGGAAATGGCCCCTTCTCAGATGAGAATGCTGGGGCTAGAGGACTTTCCTAGAACTCTGAGTTTACCCTAAATTGGTTAGAAAACTGATTAGAAAGTCCTACAGAGATGTTACTAAAATTGTAGTCTATGGTGCTTTAGAAATACGTTTCTAAAGGAATTTAGGAATACATTACCACCATAATTTATGGAGAGCCATATGAGACCCTTCTATACATATCCTTCAGCTGGAGAGTCACATGAGTGGAAGACTTCCAATCCTAATCCCAGCATCTCTCAGGAGTTTGGGGGGTGATTTAAAGAATCTTCAAGGAGATGAAGTTGTTCTGTTCTCATGTTCAATACATTTAAGTCCTTTTTCTTCCTCTTGTGCAATGATCAGAGTATTTGTGCTGATTGATTTCATTTGTGATGAAGTCTTCTGATTGTTCTTATTCATAAATCAGCTTTCCTGTTTTTCTTAAGAGGAACTACCTTATCTTTTAGGGTGGGTAGGGTGTTTTGTTTTGTTCCAAAATTAAGTCTGACTCAGCCAGGTGTGTTTTAGCATCAGGTTTGTTCACTGTAGTTTATTGAAACACAGAGATTATTTTTGTTTTGCATAGAAATTTGGGGTTCATTAGCCAAGGGATGTGGGGAATTTTTCAGTCCTCAAAGTTGTCACTATTACACACCCACACCCACAAGTCAATTATTTCACTTTGCTGTCATACAGTGAATGCAGTCTCTCAGAAGGTGCCAGACTGACAGCTTTGAAGTCTACAGAACAGGTTTCGCAGAGGCATCAGCAGTCCCAGTTCTCGTGCACTTCTGTCTTTTTGAACCATAGTGGTTTGACTGTCAGACAGCCAGAGTTATACCCAGAATCTGTGTATAGCTTGCAATTTCTTAAGATACTCTGTTTTTTCCTTCCTTATCCAGAGGTATCCAGTTATAAAGCCTTTTTCTTCCTCAATTCACTTGAATACTGCCTTAGTCTGGGATCTCTTGAATGGAATGACTTCCATTTGTAGTGCTGACTTGTGGACTGAGTGGGCAGTGAGACTGTCTTCTTTTTCCTGCTCCGAGGGCTCCCCTCCAAATTGTCACGGTGAGCTGCTCTGTGTGGGTAGTTTGCATTCTCACTACCTGTACTCAGTCCCACTTCAGATAAGCTAGAGGCATCGGGTCTTCTGGGCTGTTATATCAGCACCTTTTTTAAACCTGCAGTTATGCAGCAAAATGGCAGTGGCAGAATAACACAAATAAAACAAAACCAAGGCTGATAAAAAAGATAAATAAATTAGGCAGTAGAGATATATTTAGTGCACTCACCTTTTGAAGACGGATAAATAGATTGCTGTAGAGAACAGAGGCAGCTTTAAGCAGGCAGAATGGGGCTGGGTGCCAGTGGGATGAACGTTGTTCCATTCGGACGTAGTGCTGCAGCCGGGAGTGACGGAGGAAGGCAGGGCCTGGAGACTCCACACCATGGATAATCCGTCCAGGTATCACTGTGGCTTGCTTGTAAAATTCCATTTTTAATTGGAGACATTATTTCTTTAAGAAAATACTTTACTGATCCTAATAAAAACAATAAAATAGAAATAGATATTCAGTCAATCAACATCTCAAGACATTTTAAGTGAGGGAATTGTTACTGAGACATGGGAGATTTTTCTCTTTTGGCAAAGGAGAAAGTGCAGTTTTATAAGAGGGACAAATTCTTGTTTGGCTCTAATAAATTTTGCCCAGGGCCAGGGAGGCAAAGATATGGCTAAGCTAAACTATCTCCTCCCCATCTCAAGCCATATCACTCTGCAGCTGCACAATTCTCCAGGGATAAGCTCATGGACACACTAACTAGCCCTCAAACAAAAAGCTTCATTCTTTGATTTTGGCAGTGAAAGCAGTGGGAAGCAGCAAGGCAGGCACACAGGTTATGTGGAATCCTTTGGGATGATTTCTCCCATGAACCTCCTGGGAGCAGGACTGGAGCAGCAGCCTTTTGCTTGCCTGTCACCATGTACCCTTTTCCAGCTGTGCTGCAAAGAGTAACTGCATTTAAAATGGTCTTGTTTAGTCCAAGAAAAAAGAATGAGTAATTAAAATATCAATCCAGTCTGCTTGTTCTGGAGTTTAGGGTCTTGCATTTAAGTTCCTAGATATGGCAGGACTGAGTTCTGTGGAATCTTAAACAGGTAGTTCAGATATAAACACATGAAGAACTACACAACCAAGTGAAGACTGTTAAATACACTATCTGAGATGCAGAAAGTTCATGTAGTTCTTTTATAAAATGAGATCAGAGAAAGTGGCCTGAGCAGGAGTAGCTCCACCTCAGATTTCCTGTGTCCTTGCACAGTTATCAAGAGAGTCGCAGTAAACAAACTTACTAGCTGCCCGCGTCCTAATCTTCACGCTACTGTGGTTGAAACTGGGAAGAAACATGAAGCTATGCATGGATATGGTTTTGATGGCACTGATTTCTATAAACATTACAGAATATGAACATCTATACCGATACTGTTGACTTTAGCCACATACAAGGTCTAGTAACAGTGAATGCTTTAATGCTGTTGGCTTTACTCATTCCACCTTGACAAATTATGGATGATATGTTTAATTTCCCATTACTGACCCTGACTACTCCTTAGATTATGGGAGGACTTGTATTTTCTTTTGCTGATGGAGAACTGAGGTACATTGTAGGGCTGTGCCCAAATAATATAGGAAGGTATGGCAGAGCAGGTAACTGAAAGAAGCTTTAAATGAAACCTATCTCAGTTCTTCCATGCGTTATCTTTATCACTGCCTAATTCTTCCTCGCATATCAAATGGATCCAGTTTTCCTTCAAGAGAGCAAAAGCTCTCTCAATGCCTCTAGATCTGAAAGATCTAGCATTTCTTCCTTCCTTCAAGAAGTTCTGCAGGGAAATAGCAAGAGACTGTTGACTTCACCACTGAACGTTTGCTACAGATAACCTCTTGTCTTTCAAAAGAGATGCAAAGTGGTTTACCCTGTATTTTTGGTGTCTGAGAGAAATAAGCACAGTGATGAGTTGTTTCAGAAGGAGAGGAGTGATAACAGTTATAAGAAGCAGGGATTAAGGTTTCATTCTCTGTTGAGGTCTGCCATACTCCATCAAGCTGAGAAGCAGTGCTTGTGTCCTGCAGGGACAGACTGCTTCTTAAGACAGCAGTGGCAAAAAAAGTGTCTTTTTGCATCTTTATTTAGTCATAAATCTGCCTTACAGGCAAGGAAGGTTAATAGAGCAAATATGAAATAGCACCTCACACTAGTGTTCCGTGAGCTTCCTGCTCAGCTTCCGATGCACTTCAAAGCTTCATAGCTGTCTGGTCTCCAGCTGTCTTACAAACAACCTCTTCACCCACGAAGCACTCTGCGGGTAGGGGCAGTTGTTTCACAGGAACCCAGAATACATTGTGTTCCCAGCATAGGTTCTTGCCTGACTTTACCTCTAGGGAACAGGAAGAGCCTGAGCTGGACTGTCCTCAGTGCTGTTTGCAAACTGTTCTCAGAAACAATGGCTGATGATTCATCTGGCATCATCATCAACAATCCCCAAGCCTGCCTTTTAACAAACCTTCCCAAAATAAAGAAAGGAGATCTTCACAGACAGGATCATGTATGTTTTAGTGGTGGATCTACAGAAGAATAATCGAGGTTTATGAGTGCTTGTAATCAAGTGATTACGTATGCTTGCCTGAGGTCAGGCAGTAAGCTAGTTTAGCAGCTCAGGGGACCCTTGTTCCTGTGTTGTACTCACATGACAAGAGCACACTGACTCATCCATGTGTGGGGATATATAAATGACTGCTTATAACATGTTTTTGCAAGTTTTAGTAATAAAGCCAAATCTGTGAGGTTGCAATCCTATCTATGGCAACAGAACATAGTCATCACCAACATTTTGACTTAAAAGTTGTTATAGTTTGAGAAAGAAACTCAATTCCTTTTTTTGTTTATGCTAGTAATGCAAAAGGTCAGTGGTTTAATGTGCATAACCTTTTAAAGTTATTTTTCTGAGTAAACACTTGCTGGAAGTTATCCTGTCTGGGTGAAACCTTTTGCAAATGCCTGGTACTGTCCCTCCTAAACAAACTTTTCTTTGGTGAACCCAAGACAAGACATGGGGTGCCTTTCTAGAGGTATGCATCCTTATGTAGTGGCAGCCCAAGTGATATTACAACATATGAAAGTAAAAGACCCAAGAATAGAGAAGATTGATGGTGTTTTAACTTTTGCAGTTGCTAGCAGTGGAAGGATGGTGATGACTGACAAAGACTAAGAGACATGTTAATGAAGGAAACTTGAACTACTCATCAGGGATGTTGGATGACAGAGGTTAGATATCATGCTGGCCCCTGTGGGAATGAAATGCACCTGGTGGAGAGAGCCCACATAAGCACCTAGGGAAGGCATCCACTCAAAAACAAAATTATGGATGTCTGCAACATGAAATAAATATTTACCCTAGGCAAGCTAGAACTTTTTTTTTTTTTTTTTTTTTTTAAGTCTTCTCTATGAAGAAAAAATCATCTGGAAAGAGGACTGAAATTGGGGGGGGCGGGGGGGAAGCTGAAAAAGATAAGTAAATGAACAAAAACCTTCAGCATGGTGCTATGGGGCTGCAAGGAAGGCTTATGGTTGTTAAAGCACATGTGGATCTGCCAGGGCAAACTTTTTTTTAGATAAACTTTTAAACAAAAATTATTTGTTCTTATTTGACAAGTGGATGTAAATTGTTATTATAGGGGAATACTACAGTCCTTGAAGTTCAACTGATTAACAACATCTAAAGATGTAATGTTATTTTTAAGAAGAGTAATTCAGCTTAAAAACTCCAAGTCCTTCAAAAGCTCCTTTCTCTCTCTTTCTTATCTTCTTCTCTTACACATCAGTAAATGAAGTCAGTGCTGGGTGTTTACTTACGTTTCTTTAAGTACCTAGAAGACAACAAAAGATATTTAAACACTATACACGTTGTACCTAAAGGAGGTGGGAGGAAAATGTACATAAATGTGCCCTTTCTTGGGATGCATCACCTCACACACCTTCCCGGAAAAGACAAAAGGGCAAAGAAAAAAAACAGCCATGAGAAAAAAAACATCCACAACAGAAGCCTGCGTTGCTGTGTCACCTTCCACGTCATATGAAAATACCTTTTCCAAAATTTGAAAGCATTTCTTAAGAGCAGTCAGAAGCGTATTGTTTTTTTTTCTTCTTCCTTTTCAAAGCAAAGCAAAGTTCCACCCTTGCTGTCTCTCTCTTTTTTCTCCTCTCTTAAAAAAAAAAAAAAAAAAAAAAAAAAAAAAAAGTTTTGAGAATTTCACTTTTCTATTCACTGCAGTCCTGGCCAAAGTAAAGCCCTCTTTTACATTGACGTCAAGATCTTTACTAAGATTAGGGTTTCATTTCTCTATTGCAGCAATTAGCCAGGGAATGTATAAAAGGCTTCAGGGAAGCAAGCTGGGACTCCAGAGGGGAAAGCACTTTGCACCATAGGCAGATAGCAAGAGAGAGGGAGAGAGGAGGAAGGCAGGAACAGAGAGGGAGGGAGGGAAAGAGAGAAGGAGGGAGGGAAGGAGGGAGGAACAGAAAGTTTATGTACATAAACCTTTTTAAAAAAATGTATTGTTGCACCTGGTAGCTAGTTTTCCTGACACAGGAATGAGAGGTCTGCTCAGTGCTTAAATAGCTGAGAAACAATGGGATAGTGCAGGAAAGTTAACAATTAACAATCTCAGCTTAAATTTTGTAACTGCAGGGAACTGGAAACACAGCTGCCTCTCTCTTCAACAAAATCAGAAAGTCTCCTGGTTAAGGGAAGAATTTCTGTTAACTTCTTACTTTCTGAGAAACAGGCAGCTCCGAGTTGAATGAGTATCATGCAGTTACGCTTTTAACCAGGCTGCTCGTATTTAACCATCTCTGCTCGTTTTAAAGAAAGAGAGAGACAGAGAGGGGGCAAAGAGGCTTTTAAAATGCTTTTTACTTTACTTTTCTAAATGAGGGCACAGGGCAAAAAAGGGAGCTGAAGTCATCCGGCAGAAGAGAAGCAGCGGGGAAGATGGGTCTGCTAAGTGTGGATTTGCTGATCACGCTTCAGATCTTGCCGGTCTTTTTCTCCAATTGCCTCTTCCTTGCGCTCTATGACTCTGTGATCCTCCTGAAGCACATGGTGCTGTTCCTGAGCCGCTCCAAGGCTGCGCGCGGCGAGTGGCGGAGGATGCTCACCTCGGAGGGGCTGCGCTGCGTCTGGAACAGCTTCCTCCTGGACGCCTACAAGCAGGTGGGTGCCGGGCACCGGCACGGCCCCGGCCCCGGAACGGCCCCGGCGGGTGGGCGAGCGCTGGGGGCTGGCCGTGGCGCCGCCGCGGAGGGGAAGGGAAGGAAGGGAAGGAAAGGAAGGGGATGAGCGTGTACGCAGCGCGGTGTCTCCTCTTCCAAGCTCAGCTGGGTGGGAGAGGGGGGCTAAGAGTTGGGGAGACTGGAGAGCTGCCGGCTCTGCTCTATTACTCGCACTCTGTGTTGTAGCCACGGCCGAGCCACTTTACAGCCGTGCCTCGGTTTCCCCACCGGTAGGAATAACCATGTTCATAAAGTACTTCAGGCTCTTCGTGTAACAATAATTACACGATGCTCTCACTGCTCTTAAAGTTGTCGTTTGTTTGCCACCTGAGATCCTCAGAGATTATGCAGCCTGCATCTTGAGACAGAGCTCTAGATACACAGATGTTATCTACGCGACACAGATAGAATTGTTTTAATTAGCGTAAAGGATAAAAATGAACCTTTGTCATTGCACTGGCATTTTCTCTTACTCATATAATAATTTTTAGATTGGAGGAAGCATCCATCTAGTAGTAAAACTGCATGGAGTGAAACAGTGAGCCTTTTTTTCCTCATGAAAGCAGTGACAGAGGGACATGTCAGAGATTAAAAATGAACTAGACTAGCTGAGGGACAGCTGCCTGGTGATTTAACTTAATAATGCTAATAGCAGTTATGCAACATGTACTTTTTTTTTTTTTTCCTTTTAAGTTATGTACAAACATTACCCAGTGGTGCTGCCCAGGTCTCAGGAGGTAGTTATAGTTCCCTTTTATAGATTGAAAAGGTGGACCCAAAAAGATGAAATTTCTTTTACAGGCCACCCAGTTAGTAAGTAGAAGAGCTGGATTCAGAGCCCTGTGGCTTCCAAAACAGTGCTTAGTCTGTTAATGTGTTGTCTTATTTAGACCATCTAATTTAACATACCTCATGTGATGTCATGAAGTCATAGGGATCCTATCCAAATGATAGCTCTGTGTCTTCTGAAATATTTCTTTTTGTGTCACATTACCCCCCCTCCCCTTCAGATCCCTTTCACCTCACCTCAATGGCTTTTGTAATTTGCTCTTACCTAGAGACCTGAAGAGCTGGTGGTGGTGATTGCTGGCTTTGTGATGTGGAATACAAGCTGCTTAGCCTGAAACCAAAGCCACGGAGACATTAATTTTCAGTATAAGACAAATATAAATAACAGTAGTCTTTGCCAAATGGGTCAACCTCTTATTGCCACCCTAGGAATCAGCCAGCTGGCTACCCAAATGAAGTAATGATGAATACTGAAACTCACTATGCTCCTAACCCTTTTAGTTTCTGGTTTTGGTCTCTTCACAGGCATTAAGTAAATTTTTCAGTGGCCTCGTTAAATGGGCCAGTGAACGTTATTGTTCCAGTTTTACAGACCAGGCAAGACAGGACAGTTAATGCATGACTTGGTCAAGACTCCAGTGGAAGTCAGTAGCACAGCTCAGAAACAGCCAAATTTCCGCTTCCCAAAATCTTAACCTGTATACAGCCCAGGTTCTAGAGAAGGTATAGAGCTATAGGGAGCCACACATCCATGGGTTTTCTTCAATCTTATTTTACTTGGATAATATAAAATCATTTAAAATAAAGAAGGTACATGCCATTCTGTACTTTCTAAAGTCAAACTTTACATTTCCCTTAGTACTGTTGATATCAGCTGCAGAAGATACAGGTAGGCTGTTTCTGTGTTAGTTTTGGTGTTTGCAATGAAACACATAACTTGAATTTAGGTGTCTTCCTTATCACCAGTAAATGACCTAGGTTATTCAAGTCAATTAAGCTCTACAGTCCTTAGAATAAATTCTGGGCCTCAGTGGACTCAGCAGAAAAAATCATAAAAACATAACCAGATTTTTCTCACCTTGTTACAAAAAAGGGAAATAATCTATTCCTGCCAACCTCAAGACAAAAGTAATTGACCAACAATTATTTGGCTTTTTTCTTTATAGAATTGTGGACCATAAGGCTAGAAGATTATTGGAAAACCGTTATTGTCAGAGAGGTAGATAAATGTAGAGATCAAACTATAGAGATGACAAGTAAGCTGAGGAGTAATAGCAGAAGGAGGAGAGTCATTATATTGACAATAGAGGAGAGAGAAAAAAAGTGTTCAGCTGGAAAACTACTGGTAGAATTGAAAAAAACAATCAAATATACACTGTGTTGTAGCATAAGAGTTTAAAGAACATGAGAAAATAGTGAAATGTATTAAATGTTGTCCTACAAAATATCCTATTCCTCAAAAATAGCCTTTCCTAAATGGGACCATCCAGTTGTCATATCTTAATCTTAGCCAGTTAGTGAAGGTAGGAAATGAAAATACTGTATGGAATCAGGATACTGAATAGCAATACAAAATGCAGTCTATATCATAACCGTGATTGCTTATTTCTCCAGTTTTCTAAATAAAGTCAGGTAGTAGTCAAGTACTTAGGCAGGTGCTTAAGCTCATTCAATTTAGGAGCATTTATGAGATAATCACCATTTTTCAGCTAGAATAGCAATATTGAAGATGGTTGAGGCAGACCAAAGTTTAGCAGAAGCTTTGCCAGTTAGCAGAAGACTGTATCCAGAGCAGTAACTATTCTTGGTTGTACAATGTTTTGTCACTTACACAGAACTCTTTTTAGTACGTTTCACAGAGTTTTACATAAAAGTACTTCAAGTACTATTTATATTCACAGGAAAATTTACTGGAAGCCATTCCAGAAAAACTCAGTGGGTAAATACTAGGTTCTAGATTAAATGTGAATTTATCCCAAGAAAAGAGCTCTGCCTTGACAGCACACAGACAGTTCCAGAATTGAGGGAATTTTATTGCAAGACAAGTGTGTACAAGAGATGATCTGGGAATAGCTAAAGTAGAGTATATTTGAAATAAGTTATTCTGCTGCACTTTCCCTTCTAGAATTTTTTAACTGTTTTACCCAGATTTCAACTTCCTTTTGTTCTGCTTTTTGTTGTTACTAAGTGTTGCTGCACATGACTTTTTTGTTAAGGCACTAATTTCATATGCAAGATTACCTAGCAACTGTTGAAGATTTTAATATCCTCAGTGGATAAGCAATGCACAGTCTGATGTATGTACTTTCTGTATTCTCTTTTATTGGCTGATTTTATATTTGTTTTCTCCACATTTTATTGTTGTACTGGAATCAAAATGACTGGTATCTTGTTTATTTTCATATGTAAATTTTATCATAGATTAATATGTTTCTTTTTACTTCCTTAGCTTTGAGTTCATTATCTGTCACACTCAGTGTTGGTATTGTCTACACTGCACCATATTTATAATGTAAGGAACATCTTCCTCCTACTCTTTCCCAAGAGGCAAGCAAATCTTCAACAAGGGTGTCTTTAGGACCAGACTAATTGTCATAAGACATAAATAGAGCTAGTAGACAAGCTACAGTAACTTTATATAAGTGGAAGAGTGCAACTGTTTTATTTAGGTGTTATTTTTCTAATTTACTGCTGTGCTCTGTTTATCTACAGAAACAAGTGGATTGATTCCTGAAGAGCAAAGCATGTATGTATATGTGTGTAGGTATTTACACATTCATATGTTTTTGTATGTATACAGTTACATACACATGTGTGTATCTGTCTATATATATGTATATAAATGTATGTGTATAAATGCAAAAATACACACACAGGCATACGTAATTTGCTCTTTAAAGAGTCAGTCCACTCTCATTTCTCTGTATTTGTATAAACACACATTTATGTGTAGATTGAATGCATGGACACCACCAATAAGAGATTATAAACAAAAGAGATTTTGGGCAGGATATTAGTATGGCTTCTGCATGCTCTATATAGGCCCTCTATATGAATGCAGTGAAGCGTCTCAACATGGATGTTGAACATGTCATGTATCTTGCAGAAATCCAGAGAAAAAGTGAAAAAGCTAGAGAGGTTTTGAAGAAGTATTGTATTTCATTTGAAAAGATTCTCCCCCACCCCCACACCGTGAGCTCCATGCTTCATTTAGTACAGAGACCAATTTCTAGGATTTCAAAGGTGAGAAGTTGTTATCCTAAGATGCTTTTAAAATGGGTACAAAAATGTTTTTCCATATCAGCACCCAGTGGTAAGGCCTTATCTGGCAATTTTCAGTGCCAGATATGAGCTTTGTGTTTTGGCAGCACAGTTTCTGCTCCTGGCTCCCTGCACAGATCTGTAAGACTACCCTAGAGGAAATCCTCCCTCTTCTCTAACCTAGTGTGCTTCTTTGGGAAAGATCTATGCCAGGTATTTTTTTCAATGTCATCTTTCTGATTCAGCCAAATGCTGAGCAGTCCACCTGTGGGCATACAAAGCACATGTGCATAGACACATGTGTGTAGATGTGCATTACAGTCCTCAGAAGGATGCTGGAATTTCCACAGGGGCATGGTAATGGGTGTGTGCATGTAGTTGTACAGCTTTTGGCTGTCTTTGTAATGGGACAGCAGCAAGCTTTGGCATGACAAGCCCAGCAGAGAGGGAAGGTCCGGCACAGGGTCCCAGCTTAAGAGCCTGGGCTTACTTCTGGGCTCAGCAGCAAGTAGAGTGGTTCAGTAACGCCCAGCGAGATCTTCCTGACACTGCAGGGATGCACACTCATTTTGCCTTTGGCTACTTCTGCCTGCCTAATAGGCACATTTATACTTAAAAGTAAAAATCATCACGCAAAGGAGGAAAACTGTCATCTTTTGAGATGTTAAGTGTGTGCTATGCAATGTTGTCACAAAGCAGTATATGAAGGTAATAGAAAACCACCATGCTTTACTTGCTCTTTGTCCAGTATCTCTCTGCTTTTTGGTGACATCCTTTAAAGATCAGAGAGAATGCTACATAGTTTCAGGGTTTAGAGCTAGACATTGTGTGTTATTAAAAGCTTTCATTGGTTTTACAAAGTTCAGAGTTAGCAGAATTGTTTTCATTGAC